GAAATATTTGCAGATAAAGATAAAGATAAAGATAAACTTTATTGATCCCCGTGGGGGAAATTTGTGCATTACAGCAGCTCAAGAAAACGGGACGGGAATATAGTTATTACAGTTTTTTCCAATTGCTAACACACTAAAATGACGTGCATAGCACAATTATGTAAACTGACACACAGAGCAAAACCTCTTCTCAAGTCTCCAGAAGTCTAAACACATTTTCTGCTTTACACACATTTTGCAATTCAAAATGAGACTTTTTAAATGCACTGAACACGGTTCTCTGCATAAGACACAACAATCTGACATAAAGTCACATGTTTGCAATTTCAGAACACTGCCATTCAAAATGACACGACATGAGCTAATTAGCCAAACACCTCAATGGTTAATTGTTATCACTTCGATCAGGAAGTAAGCACTATGAAAAGACCACAAGTGAGCACCTTTTTTTTTACAACAACAAGGGAAGAGGTTGCAGAGAGAGGAAGAGGGAGGGTGAGAATGAGAGGGGGAGGAAGAGTGTAAAACTGTAACACATTTTGACTGGATGAAAAGTTTCTCCTTCCTGAAGTTCATGACCACAGCTGAGGGTTGGAGCGAAGATCGACCGGTTAATCGTAGGTTTAATCTTCCAGCGTAGTTCCCTCTTCACCACGACGGTCCGGCCCACAATCCTGCTGAGCCCCAAATGAATGGCCACCTTATGGTGGTGAAGGGGTTTGCATGTCCCTGTGAACCTGGAATTTGTGTTGTTGGGGGGCATTACCCCCTGTTAGGGTCTCCTAAGGCACATAGGTCCCAGGTGAGATCCAAACAAAGAGTGATTCAGAAACCTCCAAGAAGCAACAGAAGGGGAACACAGATACCTTGGAAGTGAGAGACTGGGCCACCTCACTGGAGCCAGACCTGGGGGGCCTGACGGCAAGCGTCTAGTGGCCAGGCTTTCCTACATGGGGCCCAATCGGGTTCAACCCGAAGAAACAACATGGAGCTGCCACCCTGTGGGCGCACCACCTTCAGGGATTGGCATGGGGGTCAGGTGCTGTGTAGACCGGACGGCAGGCGTAGGAAGTGGCCTAGGCGAGCTGATTCCTATCAGCGTGGTCTGGTATTGTTTATTTTGAATTTAAAGCTAATGCCCCGTGTTATCGTTTGGATCTTTTTTATCTTCTTTATGTCTGACATGTAGAAGTTCACCAGCAGCTGATTTGGAAGTCACACCTTCTTCAGGCATGTCAGGAAGTGGAGACTCTGAAGAGCTTTTTTGGCCATCGCTGAGGTGTTGATGGACCAAGTCGCGTCCTGGCTGACGTGGGCACTTAGGTATTTGAAGCTGTGCACGACCGCCGCTGTCTTGCCGTTAATGTTGGGCTTCAGTCTCCTGAAGTCGAGGACAATCTCCTTCATCTTCACCGCGTTGAGGATCAGGTTGTTGTCTCGGCTCCCAGTTCTCAACCTCTGTTCTGTAGGCTGACTTATTGTTGTTGGTGTTTCAGCCAACTAGGATGGTCAACTCTGCGGTGCACCTGTGTTCAGTATGATGGAGGTGGAGACATGCTTTACCATGGACACAGTACAGTCTGTGGCCTGTCAGTGAGGAAAACATTGATCCAGCTGCACAGGAGTGTTAATGCCAAGCGGGATCAGTTTTGTGGCCAGGTTGTGGGGGGGTGGTTTAGGTTGAAAGCGGAGCTGAACTGAAGTGAATGAACAGCATCCCGCTGATCAAAGTGTGTCTGTGCAGTGGGGAGGACCAGTGACACTGCGTCCTCAGTTGTGTTGTGGGTGTTTGTCCAAGGAGAGTGGCATGTTGCTCTTGATGTGTACCAGAACAAGGCGTTCAAAGAACTTCATCACAACCGGTGTCAGCGCCAGTGGTCAATGACTCAGTGACCTGATTGCTGTCTGTTTTAGCACTGGAGGAATTGTGGCCAACTTGAGGCAGGTTGGGACTGTTGCCTGCTTCAGGGAGATGTTAAATAGGTTGGTGAACACTGCTGTTGGCTGTCCTGCACAGTGTTTCAGGGCCCTTCCTGTAACCCGATCAGTGGCTTTGTTCTGGATGAAGTTGTTCTGAGGCGGTCTCACCTAGTAGGGGCTCAGCATCAGCCCACCTGGCATGTCCCCTGCAGTGTCAGTGATGGGTTGTTGAGATTGTCTCTACAATCAAACCTGGCAAAGACGTGGTTCAGGTCCTCAGGGAGAGATGAGTTGGCAGTGTGTGTTGGGCTGCTGTTGTTGCCTGCATAGCCTGTTATGGTCTTGATGCCATGCCACATGCGTCAGGAGTCTGAGCTCCTCTATACGCATTTTGTAGCAGCGCTTCGCTTGTCTGATGCCTTTCCTCAGTCTGGACCCGGCTGTACTGTAGGCCACCTGTGCGGAAAGCAGTTTCACAAGCCTTCAACAGGTTAACCATAGCTGCATTCATCCACAGTTTGTGGTTGGGGAGTGCATGTATGTTCATCTCTGTGGTTATATTGCCCATGCAGAAGGTGCTGAGTGCAGCAGAGGTAAGGCAAAGGTGTTTAAGTCTGTGTGGTTGTTGTTGGTGGCAGTTTGTTTGAAGATGTACCAGTCTGTCTCATCGAAGCAGTCCTGTAGCCTGGGCATTGCTCCCTCAGGCCAGACCCCGATGGTACAAAGCGTGATGTTTAATCCTTACGATGAGAGGTCTGTATATGGGGGTCACAAGCAGGCTGATGTGGTCAGACCGGCCAATGTGGGGGAGGGGGATGCTTTGTAAACCCCTGCTAATTTGCAGTAAACATGGTCCAAGGATTTATTTCCTTTTGTTGGGAAATCCAGGTGGTATCTAATGGGAGAGCTCCAGGCCGCAGAGTCTGAGCAGGCCGCCATCTTTACACATACACATCAAAGACCACACACCCTCACAGACCACACACCCTCACAGAATACTCCAAAAGGGACAATAAACCACAAACACAGAAGTGGGCGTGTCTGTGTGTAAGGGACTAATGTGTATCCACATCCAGGTCCAGATATGGTCACTTCTGGTTCCAAAGAACCATTGTAGTATTTGCAAAAATGCCAACATTGGTGCTCACTGGTTGGCTTCAGTGTTCATACACTTCTTTTATACAGAGTGGAAAATACTGAAGAAAACTGTAGTTAGTGTGTTTCCGCTCAGCAGCAGGTACAGAAACCCACCATGAAAACTTGAAACAGAAGCTTGCTGCTGCTATTGTTTCATCTGCTTTGGCTTGAAAGACGGTCAAAAAAAATTCCACTGTGGTTGTAAAGTAATACCCTCATGATGAAGGGCCAATCAGATTGCCCTGTGATTGTTCCCTCCTACTTTATATGGTTCTATGAAGGAGAAGCAGCTTCTCATACGAGTTCATTCTACTGCTGTATTAAGTGGACGAAGGAGAAAATGAAGTCTGTTCTTGTTTTTCTACTGACGCTCACACTTGCTCGTAAGTTTATGTCCAATCTTCTCGTCTAATTCTGATCTTTTAAGGGTTAATATGTTTTATTTTTAGCACAGAGCATACATGATCTTTCTCTGTTGTTAAACACCAACATATTTATTTTCTTCAGGATGCAGCATCGATGAGAACTTTGAGACAAAGACTGTTGGTGTTGGAGATGATGTGACTCTGACGTGTCCTCGTGATGCTTCTTGGTATTCAACACAATTATTCTGGCTCCGGCTCGTTTCTGGAGATTTGCCTGAGGTTTTGGGAGGAACATTTAGCTTTGAATATGACGACGTTCACAAAACTCCTCGAATCACAGCAAAACAAAAACCTGGAACGTTTGTCATGATTATCGATAAAGCAAAAGTCGGCGACACTGGACTTTACTTTTGTGTGAAACAAGAGAGGATTAATATGACAGTTTTAAAAGGAACATTTCTGCAGATTAAAGGTAAATAAAAATCATTTTTACTAAAAGCAAACGTTCCAAATTGAGAATATTTTTTATCAAATCCAGCATATTTACTTTGTGTTGAATTTATTCAGGACCAGAGCCCAGTATCACCTCAGTCGTTCAAGACATTTCACAGGATCCAGTCCACCCAGGAGACCTGATGACTCTGCAGTGTTCTGTTCTCTCTGAGTCTGAAAACAACACATGTCCAGGGAAACACAGAGTGTTCTGGTTCAGAGCCGGATCAGATGAAAATCATCCCAGTGTCATTTACACTCATGGAAACAGACCTGGAGGATGTGAGGAGAGTCCAGAGGCTTACTCTCCACAGAAATGTGTCTACAGCTTCTCAAAGACCGTCAACTCCTCCGACGCCGGGACTTATTTCTGTGCTGTGGCCGCATGTGGAGAGATATTGTTTGGAAATGGGACAAAGATTGACATCAAAGGTAACTGCACAGCATTCAATATGAATCATTTTTTAACATTCATTTTCAAACAGTTGAATCTACCTGGAAGATTTTAGTGAAACATCTTAACACAATAAGTTTTTATATGTTTTCAGGAGCCGACAATCAGATGGCCGTAATAGCTCTGTCTCTGTTATCAGCTGCTTTGGCTATAAGCTTGATTATTATAACTTTCCTGATTCATATCATCAAGACTAAATCGTGTGATTCCAGCAAAGGTAACAGAACATTATCTCCAATAAATAAAAAAAAGTATTAAGCAAATATTAACTTTATAACTTTGTGTAAATTAATTGTTTACATCTTTTTTTTTAAAATTGATATCACAGCTGCTGAAGTTCTGCAAACACATCCTGCAGCAGATCGACGACGCCAGCAGGTGAGATACTTCAGAAAAGATTCAACGAGAATCATTTGTTGGAATATTGTTTTCCTTTTTATAAGTTTATAGAAATATCTGCTCAAACGATTTTTTTCTCAGGTAGCTGATTTTTCACAAGTCAAAAGTTTCACCCTCATGTTGCTGTTGAAACTAAACTTACGATCAGTGTTGGGCTCGTTATCGAAAAAAGGAATATATTACTCATTACTCTTTTTAAAAGTAATATAATTACTTTACTCATTACTCCCAACAGAAAATGTTGTTTGTGCTTTGCGTGATGATGATGCTCAGAGCGGGACGTAAGTGTACTCTCAAATATTCCTACACATGTAAAGAACTAAAGTTTAACGTTGAAGAAGAGAGCATGCACAAGTCTGTCATCTCTTATATTTATGTGACAGAATGTCTTTTCAGGATGCATGAATCATCCGTCCTTTGATGAAAAGACTGCTGCAGTCGGAGACGAGGTTGAAATGAAGTGTAAGCTTGACTCTACAGGAAGCTATTTCTGGATCCGCCTCGGTTCTGGAAACTTTCCTGAATACTTAGGAAAACCAAATAGCTTGGATGTGAAGAATTCACGCATTACAACTATGGAACAACGAGATAAGGGAGGAGAATTTATTCTGCGTATGAGAAAAGCAGAGCTGAGGGATACAGGATTTTATTATTGTATGAGAACAAATCAACGAAACTTGACTTTTCTGACAGGAACAAACCTGACAGTTAAAGGTGAGCTAATTATAATTTACACTAATTTAGCTATTTGTAAAAGATGTGTGTGAGAGTTGACAGAATTAAATTTAAAAATCAGATTTTAATCTCCCAGCAGCACAACCTGGAGACGCTGCAGTCCGTCCTCCTGATCCGGTCGGTCCGGGAGACTCAGAGAAGAAGCAAACTGTCCAGGAGAAACACAGTGCGTGCTGCTTCAGAGCCGGATCACATCAGTCTCATCCAAGATGGAATTTCACTCCAGAGAACAGTGTTAAAGGAAGTGAAAGGAACCCGGCTGGAGTCTCGATAAAGAAATGTATTTGCAGTGTCACTCAGAACTTCAGCTGTTCTGGTGAGGGACTTACTTCTTTGCTGTGGACACGTGTGAGGAGAAAACTTCTGGAAACAGATCAGACTCGGCCAAACAAGGTAAATGTTTCCTTGGTGTTTGAAATGATGAGTTCAGTGCCCTGACTTGTATTTACCTTAGTCTATGAAATAAGCCTTATTTTGGACAGTCGTCCACTAAGACGAGCCTTTAGGTTCAGGTTCACTGACTTTATTGGTACACTTAGGTTGCAGTGAGAATCACATATACTTCATAAAACACAGATGATACATAAAACAAATGCAAGTGCAAATGCAAGGTACATTGGTAAAGTGCAGCAGTGATAAAGTGCAGTTTCTAATCGTACAATTTGATAAACAAGTTTATATGTAAAAGTTACTGATTGTAAAACAGTGTAACCCGTAACCCTAACCAACAAATATATAAAATTTGATAAATAAATGAAGCATTAAAAAGCATGACATCAGCTTCCCAGCATGCTATCTCTGTCCCTCATACAAGATCTTCATGAAATTACAACAACCATCAAGCAGCAAAGAAGAAAAGCATCATACAGAGATATCTTCGACTTGTTCTGCGTAATAACGGCTGCTGGGGGTGCTGGTGGTGGAGTGGATGGTGTGCGTTTTGTATGTTTGAACACACCTGCCATCATAGTGCCTGTCAGCTTACTGGTGTGAAAATCTATATATATGGGTGTGGCCACCTCCTTTTTTAAGGAATTTAAGGTCCTTGAAAATATATTAAAACCAATGTCTGTTGCGCCTCTCTTCAAGAGAAGGCCGTCTGACTTCACATACAGGTCACAGTGATGAGTACTGAGTCTATCCCCAGTTACACATGTTAGGGCAGAGTGGGGAGTTGAATCTGAAGTATTGCTATAACTCTCTTTCCAAATACGCCGTGCACGTGTAGGGCCATGCACTTCACTGTCGTTCACAATGTATTCATGATTAAATCATTCTTTTGTATTTCCTTTGTTGTCTAGCACGAACAGTAAATTCCGAATCAATCGGGCTGGTCATAACGATATTCTGCTTGGTGATTTCTGTGATTGGAAATGTCGTTTTTATCTGTTTCCAAACTCCGAGAGAAGAAAGTGAACAATCTAAAGGTTAGTGACGATGACCCGTTCTAAAAGCATTATACAATTTCATGTAACAACGTGTTCTCAGAAGGAGGAAGACACTTTTCTGCCGGGTTATAATCTTCCTAACAGCTGTGGTTGTTGGCTCAAGTAATTAGACGTACTTGTTCTCTAAGCAGCAAAAAATCATCAAACCTTCTTCATCTTTCATTTTAACTCTGTATGTATTTTCTGTTTCATTATCCAGCTGCTGTCGTCCTGCAATTAAACAGCGAGAGGGTGAAAAATCAACAGGTAAATCATTTAAAGATGTTCATGTTGTCCTTATGTTTTTGTCCATTTAACAGCTCATGTCTCTCTTTGCCCAGATTGATGAGGAGACTAAAGTTTACTCTGCTGTGGTCTTCACATGAGGAAAGATAACCGTGGTGCAGTGAAGGATGCAAAGTAGCGCAGAGGAAAAGGATGTGTGCTGCTGTGAAGGATTTTGGTTTGAATTAGTGAGTGAAAAGGTCTGTTTGGCTACATGTGATTTAGCTGATTAGTTTGTTTAAAGCTTAAGAAAATGCTGATTACCTCCAAATTCTTACACTTAGATACTTAAGGAGGTGTATGAATATTCTATCACTCAGGTTGTGACTGTATTGGTATGTGTAATGCAAATGATATTCTATAATTCATAATAAATGTATTTGTCAAACTCCTTGGATTAAAGGACTGTAACATTCAGGCTTCGGTCTCCTGCGTTGTTCTTTCTGTAAGTCCATGAGCGCTTTGTTTATGAGGAAACATCACACCACATGTTGGGAGGATAAGAATACATGTTTCTAAATCTGCTTTACATTTTCAGGTTCTGTCAAATGTCTCGTTATCAT